CCCCCCCCCCCCCCCCCCAAGCCTGACAATCCGTCCTCATCCTCCTCCGCCTCCCGAGCTCTGCACGGCTAGGAGGCCAAAGGACCGTCCTGTGATGCTCTGGTTTCCCAACTTTCTGCTCATCCTGGTCTTCACAGCCTCCTGCACAGCCGCTGGGGAAAGGGCAAGTTTGCAAAGCCAAGGATCCCAAGTCCTGGGGAAGCCACAAAGAAGCTCCAACGCCAGCAAAGATTAACCTCTTGTGGGGCAGACTGGAAAGCGCCACGGCCGCTCTCGGGGTGGGGGAGAGCTGGGCTGGGGCTGGTCCAGACGGGCGGGGGACAGCAGGGACGCGGGGCTGCGCGCCCCTCCCCCGCAGACCCTCACCTCGCACCTGAGCCGGGCATGGGGACAGCGCCGCGCTCCGGCCCTGCCCGCCGCAGGTCGCTGGTCCGCCGCCCGCACCGCGCGCCCACTGCCAGCAGCCACCAGGAGCGACGCGAGGAGAGGCAGCCTCAACCCACGGCGTCATGCTTCCTGCCACCACATTACGGCGAATCGTCACCGGGAGAGGGGAGAAGAGGGGAGAGGGGGGAGGGAGGGGAGCAGCCACACGCAGCCCCCCGGCTGCCCAAACGTGCGGAGATGGGGCCACGTCCGGGTGGAGTCCCCGCGGGACCTGCCGGGCTCGCACAAAGCGCCGCAGTTTGGCCAAGAAGCCTGGGAGCCGGCCACGAAATAAATAAATAAAAAACAGAGTCGGGTCTACGTAACGCCCTGTCGAAAGCGGACGCCATATTTTTTTGTGGCTTATGTCGACATAGGGAAACGTAGACATGTTTTTCCTCCTCCTCTTCGGTCTGGCTCCCATTTATCCAAACTTGTAATCAAAACTATTTCATAAAAAAATTTCCGGTCCCCCCTCTGTATCCATCGATTTCCTCCCACCCGCAAAGAAGAGCCTGCACACCCCCCTCCCGCGCACCCCCATCCCTAACCCGGCCAAGTCCCATTAACAACACGTTTTCGGGAGCCGCGGCGGCGGCGGTGGGAAAGTTGGGCTGGAGTGGCGGGCGCCTGGCTTGCGGGGCTCTGGGCTGGCGGCGCCCGCTGCGGGTGCTCCGCGGCGGGGCGAAGTTTCTTACCTGCGCAGGGGCTGGGAACGCGGGGACCCGGGCTGGGAACGCGGAGACGAGGCACGGGCGTTCCAAAATGGAACTCTGCTGGCTCCCCCCACCCACTCCCCACTCCCCACCCGGCGCCCGACTCGGGCTCCGTGGGAAAGAGGTGGGGGGGGGGGGGAAGCCAGCCTAGCAGACGGACAGACAGACAAGACCCCGGACGGAGAACGGGTGGGCAAAATTTTTAAAAGAAAAAGAAAAAGAAAAGAAAAAGAAAGAGGGGGGGAAAAAGAAAAAAAAAAGGGGGAAAATGTCTCGATCAGTGGGGAATCTACGCCAAAACCCACATGATCTGTAACGTCAGCATGCGTATTTGCATACGATACCACCACCCGAGCTGCCACCCGGGCTCGGGTTCCGCAGAAAGTTATAAAGTGAAATTCAGCCCCCTCTGCAGATGCCGGCAAAATGTCATTTTCAGGAGGGCGCTGAGGGCTTGGTCGGGGGGGGGGGCTAGCCCTAAAGATTCTGGTGCGTGGCCAAAGTGGGGGGAGTGCTGTAAATGAACTTAAAAGTCTGAGTCCAGTAACGGACTCCGTGGAATTTCTGCGAGAAGAGGAGGGGGAGGCGCAAGCGAGATCATTGAATATTAAGCAGGACCGCGCGCGCCGGCCACCGCCAAACCCTCTGGTGCAATACCCATTTTCTTTAGGAAAAGTTCAAGGTGTCACTGAAGAGCTCAACAAACTGTTGATCCTCAGCACGTGGAGTGGCGGGCCGTGGGACCGCGGGGCGCTGTGACTCGGTCGGCGCTGGCAGCACCCGGACCCCGCGCCCACCCGCTGCGCGTAGGACTGAGCGCGGGTGGGGTCGCCACGCGCCCTGGGCGCAGCTTGCGCCTGCGCTCGCTTTCAGACTCAGGAAAATAATAACACATTTAAAAACTTTTTAAAAAAGCAAGATATATTTTGCTCTCGGAGTAACAATGAGAGGGCTCGGGGGTAGGGAGAGGAAGAAGGCGCCCCCACTTACATAACCACTTGAAGTTGGCTTACTTCAGTGGGTGAGTGGGGATTTCCGCTCGCCCTTTGGCTTAGGCTGTTTAAAGATCTTCAAACTTTTTCCCTCCAGAGCCCAGAAGCTAGCAGATGCCCTGGAAGCCGTCTTAAATGTGTGTGGCCCGCATTCACAGTGATTCTGACTGGGAGAAATGCATACTCCCGGTGGCGCGCACTGAAGTCCCTCGGAAGTGACAAGGGTCCCTTTTGGAACTGGACACCTAGGAGACTCTGTCCTTTCGCTGCAGCCTAGGGGACTGTGAACGTGCGACCTAGCTGCTGCGCTCCCGCCACAGGGCAAGGTTAAAGACTGATAGGAAGGATACCCGGACCCTGGGCACCTCCCGCAGCACCCTGTCTGAGCTGCGCATTCCTGTCCTGCGGACCCTGCATCCTGTAGGCTGGCGGGTGGGCGCTTCAGAATCGCTCCGAGGTGGGATGGGTACAAGCGTGCTGGAGCTCACTGTGGGCGAGGGAGGACGCGTTCTGGGGTCCAGTTTGGACACTCTGAGCGACGCTGGAAAACAAAGAGGGCCTGGGGCCGGGGACTGCGGCGTCTCCTACCTGGGCTTCTAGGCCACTTCTGCTCTGGGTGATTAGAACGAACTCTAGCGGCCGCTTGCGACTTGGCTCTGGGCTCCTGGGCAGCAACAGGTGGCGGTGTGCAGTGGGGTGGCCAGTGGCCACGACCTAGTCTGGAGTGGAAGACTGGCCTTGGGGGCTGACAGAGTGGTCAACGCGCTGGGGAACCTCTTTTGACGTTTTCCCTTTTGGAAACTGGAGAAAAGGAAGGAGCTGAAAAAAAAAAATTAAAGGTCAATCCCAGGGCTCCCATCTCTCAGGGAACCTTGGGTTCCTCGGAATTTTTTTTTCCCCTGCAAAATATTAAAGCGAGGCATATGCAAAAGTTTCTTACTGGCTCTATTTTCTTTCTTTTTGCCCTGAGTAGATAAAAAGCCCAGAAAATAGGCTTCTGGCCACAGAGGGACCTTAAGATCCCAGACTAGAAAGACAAAACCTGCCGGGCTCTTAACAGGGTTCTGTTTAGAGCTTGTTGATGACTATAATCCAGATCATGGCTAGCCCCTTTTAGGCTCAGTTGATACCTGTTATCTAAGAGTCTTATCTGCTTGCCATCAACATCAGAATCTAGGGATGCAGGGCTTTCTACCTAACTAAGGGTGTACCAGAATAATAAAAGGAAAACAAGCGAGCAAACAAAATCCTTGTCTGGCCAACACTTTTACACCATGTATCTTGTTATACCCAACCAGGTCATTCCACAGCACCCCCAGCCCTTTAAAATTAGGTACACTTTTCAGGCTGTTTCCATGGAAATTGCCCAAATATTAAGGAAACTATCTATTCCTGTTTTGAAGTGATACTTCCTCTTGATGAGCAATGTCTTAGGAAGATTTTCTATAAGCCAAGTTTCCCTCTTTGCCACCTGATTCTGGCTGGTAACAGGTTGCAGATGTCTTGGGAAAGATGAAGGAAGCCAGTGACCCTGGAAGGATCTCCTGAGTTCCTGGATCCTCAGGGAGCAAATCTCACCAGAAGGGTGAAGAATTCTGTCTTTCGATGTCTTTTAATGGTTCAAAGTTTAACATGGACTGAACTTTCACTATTAAAAAAAAAAAAAAAACAGCAAAGAGGGGCTGGAGAGGTGGCTCAGTGAGATTAAAAGCGTGTACTGCTCTTGCAGAGTACCTGAGTTGGGTTCCCAGTACCTGAGTTGGGTTCCCAGTACCCACATCAGGCAGCTCTCAACTGTCTGTCTAACTCCAGCTGCAGGCCCTCTTCTGACACCTGAGAGCACCTCCATTCATATGCACTTTTACCACCCCCCACCCCCCACACAGTTGAGTAAAGGACAGTGGCATTTGTGCTAAGTTCTACAATCCTAATTTGCTTGTACATGGACTGATAGACTTCAGGAGCTTTGGAATCTGTATTGTAAGGGTGATGCTAACTAGCTGTATGCTAGTTGCTACTTAATCCTTATAAGCAAGCCTGTGTTCACAATATTTGTCTCAAGGCCTTGCTAAAATTTTAAAAATTGTTGAGGATCCCATACAATGGTGCATTATGCATATATACTGACAGTTAATATATTAGAAATTAATTTAAATATTTTATTACCATATATTGATTCTGCAAAATAATAGGTTCCATTGTGATATTTTCATACATGTGTATGATGTATTTGGATCATATTCACTTCCATTACCAGCTCTTGTCACTGTTTCTATCACCTGATCACCTGCTGGTCCCCTTCCTAGTCCTTAATAGATCTT